GGATAGCGTTCTCCGCGATTTACGCGTAACAAAGAGAAGCGTCGGTCAAGGTTCAAAAGTCCAATTTAGCAAGAGGGCGCCATTCATGCGTTATTTGGTTATTACCAAAGAGAAAAAGTAATCAGTTTTGGAAGAGGGCGTCCTATCTGTTGCCATGGATCTGAGATGGTTCTTGTTTCACAGGATTGATACCCTAAACGTAAAGTCGCGCGGTGTACAGTATGGTCAGAGCGCTCAAGGGTCAAAAGTTTCCAATTTAGCAAGAGGGCGCCATTCATGCCGTATTACAGAATTTGCACGCGTAAATCGCGGAGAACACTATCTTGTGTTATAAGATATTTGTTGTCAATTGATCAAGTCAGTGGTGCGTAGCAAACAAAAATATGATAATATAAGCCTGTCTCTTATACACATCTACATCAATGTATTTTTAAAAATTAGACAGCGACGTTCTCTCAGAAGTTGTTCTGTAGACGTTTATCTGTTGATGACCTTTTGACCTCCTGAATTCTGCAATGAGATTTTCGGGTCGATTCAGGCGAGACGGCCCGAGTGGAGTTTCATGTAAATGTTTCGTACGGAAAAAAAAATTATTATTATTATTATTATTATTATTATTATTATTATTATTATTATTATTATTATTATTATTATTGTTATTGTTATTATTATTATTGTTATTGTTATTATTATTATTATTATTATTATTATTATTATTATTATTATTATTATTATTATTATTATTATTAATAGAAATAACCTAATTTTATTTGTTCCTAAATAGGTACATTTTCGACGACAGCGACGTTCTCTCAGAAGTTGTTCTGTAGACGACGTTTATCTGTTGATGACCTTTTGACCTCCTGAATTCTGCAATGAGATTTTCGGCTCGATTCAACCAAGACGGCCCGAGTGGAGTTTCATGTAAATGTTTCGTACATTTATTTAAAAAAATTATTATTATTATTATTATTATTATTATTATTATTATTATTATTATTATTATTATTATTATTATTATTATTATTATTATACTTATAATGGTCACATTATTAAGAAGACACAACAATAATTGTTACTTAACCAATATCCATTATTATTTATTATTGTTATTATTATTATTATTATTACCTGTACCTTAAGGGGAACTTAGACAATGGAGGAATTAGGCTCTATCTTAAATGTAGTGGATTCCACTACTAACTTTTTAAATCTCTCCCACTCATATCTCGGCGATGTTGTTACCTACTACCGTATGTATATTGTATTGTGTATTTTCTATGAGGTGGAAAATAAAGATTCTTATTCTGATTCTGAATTGTTTTTTTGGGAAGTCTTAGATTGCAATGCACCATAACATGGGGTTTTTTTTCCCCTTTTTTGTCAAGGTTTTTCTGTCTCTTTGGAGATAAGTAAATATTTTCTTTTTACATAGCAACACCATGAATATATTTCAGATTTGCTTCACTGCAATCAATGAAGGGATCATTTTGTTTGCTCTTAGCATTCCACAACAAATCCTCGTATTCTTTGTATTCATTCAATGTCAATTATTTTTATTCTGGTAATTAGGCTCCATGCCATGGTATGATGCACTAGAAACATGTTTTATTGAAAACCTACTGTATTTCTAAAGCAATTAAAAGATTATATCGGCACGACATTTTTCCTTCAAAAAATTCCCCCATATCAGATCTAGTGGATTTTCCGCTGCTAGATCCCGGTGGCGGCTTTCTGACCAAACCTTAAACGGTCAGTGTGATAATCAGGGCGAGCTCTGGATCCGCGCCTGACAGACGCTGATCCAGACCTCCGCACCGTTGGTAAGGGCGAATGTCAGATTGACTGAATATATACAATAAAGTTGAAAAGAAAATAAACTATTGTCATGCTTTTTTTTAAAATAATCATTGTTCAGTTCCTCTGCATTTACAATACAATTTATCGCACTTGTTCACCTCATTTATAAAAAAGATTGCATGTAAAGAAGCATTACAATGAAGATGGCAGATATACTGCTTAAATATATGTGTTTTTAAAAAGATTTTTTTCAAATAATAACTCTACCACCAATGGTCTAAGAGAACAAGGCACTATAAAATGGTTTTGTTTGACGTTGTTCAGGTTTTTCTGTGTCATTATAAATACTTTCTTTTTTATTACCTAGCAACACCATAAATATATTTCAGATTTGCTTCACCGCAATCAATTATTCCACAACAAATCTTCGTATTCTTTGAATAAATACAATGTCGCTTTTCTTCAGTCATGTGTTTACGTAGGCTTCATGCCACCGTATGATGGCGTAGCCAATAATTCTAGGCCTACGGGAATTTCCTTTTTTTTTTGTTATTCACCCACCATGAACAATTATTCATATTTAAGAACGCAATATAGGAATCATACCTCACGCTCACCATACACATTCGATTATTCACTTGTCACTGATGTACATCAACAATTCTCGTAGAAATGTTTTTCTGAAATTATATCATCTGATGCAATAGCCTACACAGCAATGGCGATCAGTAAACACCATTTAGTGTACATTATGATTGTCGGTATTTGCTGTTCAAACTTGACATTAGCGGAAACATTTATCAACGGGGAAATATCTGAAGATACCAATTGGTTGTCGGCTAACAGTCCAGTTTATGTGACCGATGATATAACCGTTGGGACCAATGTAACAGTGACCATCCAGGCAGGAGTGCAGATGCTGTTTGCCGAAGGTGTTGGTATATACGTCAAGGGAACGTTGATCACAAATGGAACTGAGGACGAACACGTTGTAATGACTAGCTTTGGCAATCCAACATTTTCTAGAGAAGATTGGCACCATAAGTGGTCACACGTGCGACTGGTCAGTGGGAGTAACCACCTTGAAGGACGGGTTCTGGTGTATATGAATGGCAGATGGGGAAAAGTGTGTGTATCGTCACAAAATTATGTAAACGTTGCTTTGGTTGTGTGTCGTCAGTTAGGATACGAAGGCGGATTTTATAGATGGTTTGGAAGTGGAGAAGAACCAATTCACTTTAATATTATACATTGTGAATTATCAGAAAAAAACATTTTTGATTGTTTCAACAGAAGGTACACGTATAACGATGACTGCTGTAAGTATTCTTTACTTAAATACACATTGGTAAAATGTAACAGCTAAACATTTTAATAACAATTAAAATTTACATAATTATATTCTATTTTCTTTCTCATTTTTTATTATTATTATTATACCTAGCTTAATTTTTTTTTTTTTTTTTTTTTTACTATCCGAGCTTTTAATGTATTGGGGAATTGTATTGTGTATTTTATCGTGTTTTACATTGAAGGATGATTAAACTATATACTTTATGTTGCTGTGTTTATTATTCGGCTTGGGTAATTTTGATCATGTGAATTTCAGACATGTTTTTTTTTAATTCTTCATGCCAAACCGAAAACTATTGGAGGTTATATCTCCACCAACCACTTCGCCTTCTACGCCTGTACCATAGGCATAACTTACCTTAAATTTCTTCACTTTATATTACTTTGCCTTGCTTTATTGTATATAAGATGAACCATTTTATTTGCACTAGTAGCCCAATACTACTAAAAAATCATATATTCTATTAAAATATAATAAGTGCTCTGTGAAAATGCAATCATAATAGTTAATATCACTTGATTTATATTTATTGATATTAGATGGAAACGTTTTCGGAATCGTTTGTCGTCAACCAATTACGCCTATTCAAAATGTTACGTTACCAATCAACCCTTTTTGGACTGGTCTAAAGTGGTTAAATGACGGAATTCATGAAACCCATAGCGTTTTGAAATACACGGATATTTCACTGGCTGGAGTCGACGCAAATGGAGAGGCTGGCAATCCTGCAATTTATGCAAATTTAACCGGTGAATTACCAAGTTTGTCAAATGTCAATATCCTTGATTGTGCTGGGTCAGGCATAAGATTCTCAAGTATAGCTTCTAATATTAATATCAAAGATGTTGTTGTCAGAAGTAATCTTGGTTATGGAATAGAGATGTCAACTTTAGGACTAATTTCAATAATTAATTCTGAGTTCAATGAAAATACGTTTGATGGTATTGCGATATTTAATGTAGATTATAGCAGTCTGAGGTTGGAAGACCTATGTAATGATGAAAGTGACGACCTATTTATCGACGCGTTCGAACATAGATATATGTTTAAATCATCAGCAAATTACTACAACCAGCCTTGTCAACGTGTAAGTATTTTTCATTTTCTTTGTTATTGAAATAATGAAACTAAACAATATAGCTTTTAATGCAAAAAAAACGCTATAAACATTTGTTGTTTAGAGCTCTAGAAAAAAATATGTATGGCCAAGTTGTTATCATTGTAGCCACGGGATTTGCTAACACTGGTTTAGACGTGTATTATTTTATCATAGGTTGTACAAATATTGTATGTTTTTGATATTTAATCAAAGTATAATTATAATAACAATAATAATAAAAAATCGTTATTATTATTATATCATTATTATTATTATTATTATTATTATTATTATTATTATTATTATTATAGTTGGGCTTACGGTATTTTTATTTTTTCATTATTATGGTACAGAAGGAAAAAATGTTTCATGTTAGTAATATCTCTGTTAATCTGTTGTTAATTTTTTAAATAAAAAAATGAAATGGTTAAGATTATCTCCATTAATAATAGAAAGTGCTTTTAGTGCCTTTACTCAACCTACAACAAAACAAACTTCCGTATGTCCTGCCAAACATTCAGTGTCATTTCAGAGTACAATGATCTCGTAATAAAAATTTCATATTATGGTACTCAATAATTTTTTTTTTATTTTCACATTTCATGATGATGTTGCATTTACAGAATATCAAAAATTAAAAGTAAATATAAATTTTGATATCAAGGACAAGAAAAACTCTTACTGTACAACCATTTCTTTTTTAATTTAAATAATTATTTAAAATTAAATATAAAAACAGAAACATAAAAAATATGTTTTTGATTTTATGATTTATGTTAATTAATATATATATATATATATATTAAATTTTATTTGTAAAAGTATATTTAGATTGAATTAATTAGTTGTTTAGCGCTTCGTTAAATGTTTGACGTAACATTTTGTTATTTAATAATGTGCACATGTGGTTCAATGCACCTGAGTACACTAAAATGAAAAAGATACTAGCAAAATACATTAATGAGAATTTTTTTTTTATCTTAATAGTGACTGAGCATTAAAGCTAGATAAAGAAAGTATAAGCAAACAATTAAATTTATCATAAAGTTATTCTTCTCCTTCTTCTCCTTTTCCTCCTTTATCTTCCTATTCTTATTCCTCTTCTTCTTTTTTTTCTTCTTTTCTTCTGCTTCTTATTCTTCTTCTTTTCTTCTTCTGGTTTAACACGGGGTTTCCCAAACTTATTTGACGAACAATATAAGCTGCTAAAATTATAGTAACAGTCTATAACATCACTTATCAGCAGTGGCGTCGAGAGCTAGTAAGGGTCCCGGGGCAACACCTCACATGCCCCCCCCCTTCACTTGGGACCCCCACTCGGCCGCTCCCCAAATTAAGTCTCCTCTTAAGACCCTATTTGTCCAAACCCACATACATGAATATGATTCCATGTGAACAAAAGTTTTCATCCTGGCTTGGGCTCGGGCCCTATGGAGATTTTGTTCTTACCCCCAAAATTGTTCATCTTGCTCCGGGCCCCCCAGTAGACCCGGGCCGCGGGGCAGCGACCCCCCCCTGCCCTCTCGACGCCCCTCTCGACGCCACTGCTTATCAGTTTACAAGTAGATGTTATTTATTAACAATCTTACTTCTTTTTTCATATAACTCAGACAGCCCCTATGGTGGACGACGAGAGTTGCTGGTACCGGGTTACCGGGTAACACAGACACTAAAGGACCCTTAGGGACGAAGAAAGTCATTGACCGAGTTCCTAGTCCACATATCAAGCGCCTTGAGCATCTTAAATTAGATGGATATGTGCGCTATATAAAACTACACTATTATTATTATTATTATTATTATTATTATTATTATTATTATTATTATTATTATTATCATTATTATCATTATTATCATTATTATCATTATTATTATTATTATTATTATTATTATTATTATTATTATTATTATTATAAAAATAACATAATTTTATTTGTTCCTAAATAGGTACATTTTCGCGACTCACTGAAAATTATTCGTGGCCTGATTTTCGATTGTGACCCACAGTTTAGGAAGCCCTCAAATGTGAATTGGCATCAAATCGGTGTACGTTTATTTATATTATACCACCGATACCATTCACAAAGATAAGGATGCATGTCATACTAATTAAACGACTTGACCAAAAACTTCCTAGGTAGGCGAAATTAGTTTGTCGGAGGAATTACATTTTATTGTTGAATTTGTTCAGAGAAGATGTATTTGGATTTAGCTAGATAAAGAAAGTATAAGCAAACATAATTAAATTTGTCATTAAGTTATTCTTCTCCTTCTACTTTTCCTCCTTTACCTTCCTATTCTTATTCCTCTTCTTCTTCTTTTTCTTCTTTTTTTTCTGCTTTTTATTCTTCTTTTTCTTTTTCTGGTTTAACACGGGGTTTCCCAATTTTATTTGACGAACAATATAAACTTCTAAAAATATAGTACATCACAAGCATATTTCAATTAAAATTGACACTGTCGATGAAACCATAGAGATATTATAGTAAAGTTTAGAGATATTATAGTAAAGTTTAGAGATATTATAGTAAAAGTTTACTATCGCTATGATTAAACCTTTGTCATCAAGCTGTCCGTTGACGAAACATTCTGTAAGATAGCTTCAGAGAGGTTGTCTGACAGGGTTCAAACATAATTTACAAGAGACACAATAGATCATAATATAAATAATTATCAAAACATTTTCCGATATATTTCTGAGAAGACTTTTCGTTGGAAATAAGATTGGCATGCATACAATTAAATGGCAAAATTTCCTATAAAAAGGTGTGTCCATGTTTTATGGCTTCAAATACAAAACATTAAAAGAAATATCCTGATTGTATTTATAATTTAACCACAAAAGTTCCGCTTGTCACCGCCTCAATTTCTAGGCTAACAAAATATAAATAATCATCGTTGCATTAACATCACTTCACTTCTGTTTATCACAGTTTTGTGTTTGTAGCTCAAAACACGCACTATTCAATTTTATCACCCATTCATACATGTACTAAATGTATCAATTAACCATGCATGCTTTATCATTACTATATTTTTCACCATGGGATTTCATAATGATTAACGTACATACAAGTAATAGTAGTTAAACATTAACAGTAGAACTTTATCAGCTAGGGCGGATGCAGGATTTGACGGTAGGAGGTACGTGAGAGTTCACACGACCTTAGGCAAACCATGGATTGGGCTGAGGTATGAATATTTTGAAAATATGGGCTTAGGTGCCCGGAAATTGTACTCTCATACCTGAAGAATTGTACAGGTACTACTATGTTCATACATAGAGATATCATAGAATACCTCGCAGCTTCATATCAACAATACATTAGAAAAATGTTTCTTAATACAATTTAGGGGGAGGGGTGCGATCGCACCGTTGCACCCTCTGCATCCGCCCTAGATCGGTACGGTGAATGTTATTTCGGTCAATAGTCTGTAGGCCAAATATCTGTCGGTAAAACGTCTGGCAATGAACAAGGTGTGTGCATTGGCTGTTCATTTAAATGCCGTTCATCTAAATTTCTAGAAAATTAATATCTTGGCAGATTTACTAATAGATTTTCAATATACTAAAATTAATTAGAGTATTCTTGTAGCGATCGATTAAATTTACTTTAAATTTTCACATATTTTCAGACGTTTTACACCAAGGAAGGGTACATACTGAAGGTGAGATTTGTGCAACATGATGGTTGGCCTATTCGAATAAACCTTTATGATGGAAACGACACTTCAACCTTTATACAATCCGTTACAAGTTTACAAGTCCAAGATTTAAAATCCATGTCAAATATAATAACAATTCGACACGAATGTTCCTACTACAATTATAACTCCAACTGTCGTAGAAATTCAAAATTGATCATTTGGAGTGAACGTAAGTATTGTACTGTAGTTTCTGTTTTATTTTAAGTGATACTGTAAGTAATAAGCACCGTTAAAATTCATAGGCCTATGCCTCTTTAAGTATGTTTTAATATCGTTCGAGCTAAGAAATGCAATGGCTTATATTTACTGTAAACAGTCGAATCGAAATAGTTTTAATAGGCTCCAACAATAAAAAAAAAAAGTCTGATGTCTACGAGAACGAGAAACATCTTTTCGAACATTTAATTTCCTGAAATAGGATGAAATAAATATAAATATTTATATGTATCAATATAGGTCTATGGTCATTTTTTGGCTATTTTGTAATGTTCATCGTATAATCCTACTAACTTGTCAAAAGGCATTTTATGAAAACATAACCATCGATAGTACCAGTGACAATGTTAGCCTTGTTGCTTTTTTAATTGTTAAAAATAATACCTACACTTACTGTGTCTTTATAATATGTTATTCTTACTATTATTTTTATGCTTTTAGCAGCTCAACAAAAACTGTTGTAATACAATTTATTTTTTTATATTGAATAATAAGTATATTTCTTCGAGCTTAACGAAATGCTTTATATCCTAGTATATTTGGCTCTTTATCCTTTCTATTCAAATCTAGCAATGATTACATCGAATGCATCGAATGAAATCAGTTATACGACTTTAGCTGATAACAAAGGGAACGGGTTGACCATTCATACGTATATGTCGGAGCTGAACATTAATGACTTGACAGCGATATACAACCGTGGAAATGGACTGCAAACGCATGACAGAATACACGATCTCGTTGTGGAATTAAGTAACTTCTCTGGAAATTCATTTAATGGAATTGACATGTACAACATCGTAAACATGTTTATCAACGCATCATCTGCTAATGGAAATGAAATGAATGGCATGATTTCCGGAAAATATACTTATCTTACACTTCAGAACAGTGTGTTTGATAGTAACTTAGAAAATGGCTTCTTCATAAATGAGGAACGATATAATGATTACAGTTACAGTTACAATCTGCATCTTGACAGTAATTCATTCTCGTATAACAAAGGAAGTGGCATTTTCAGGAAAGAATACCGTCAACATGTAAATGTATACATCCATGGAAATTCCATTAGATACAACCAGAATGGTGCAATAGATTTTGGGACAATACGATCACGTGGTATCAAAGTAGTTGAAAATGACATATCTTTAAATGTGGCCTATTACCTGATACATATAGATGTTACATATTCATACGTAGGAGAAGCAATTAAAATTGTGTCAAATGTGTTCCTCAAAAACTCATGTGAACGGCTTTTATATCTTGGCACATCATCTTCTTCCCAAAAAATTATTATCGAGGAAAATGTGATGAAGAACAATCAACCGAGATTGAGATTTCCAAATTCATTCTGGCCTTCATCTGTCATATTTTTACTCTCTTCTAGCGTATCTATGATAAGCAACATATTTGATAATTCTAATTTCATGTACGAGGTCGCTGTTCCAGGCCGAGACAAATTGTCATCGGTATCAATAAACGCGAGCCTCTCGTGGTGGGGCTCTACAAATTGCTCATTCATCAACACACGCATTCTGGATGGAAAAAGGAGAGCTTCGTATCCGGTAGTGCACATCTCACCGTATCGTGTTGGATATAATCTTTCAGATCTAGATTACCAATCATGTGTACAATTGGGGTTCCGAAATGATCCAGGATCAACGATAGGTGGTAGCATAACAGGTAATGTCACACTAAGCTCTGTCGATAATCCTTACAGAGTTGTTCATGACATTGTTATACAACCTCAAGCTATCTTGGTAGTTGAGGCAGGTGTCAAGTTGTTGTTTGACTTCTATACTGGAATACTGGTTCACGGGACACTTGTTGCCCAAGGAAACACCACGGATGTGATAAGGATGGAACCATTCGACAGGTTTAATGAAACCATTGAATTGATTCGATTATCTGGAGGAAGGTATCCCTGGGAAGGTTTTCTAGAGGTCTCCAGAGATGGTCAATGGGGCTCTGTCTGTTACTTCAGCTACAATTGGCGTATTCCATGGAATGCTATTGCTGCACGTATAGCTTGTCGGCAACTAGGATATATAGACTACATAAGTTATACGTACCGTACATCTACTCTTTTGAACATTCTAAACGCGTTCAAATGTGATGAACGCATTCACACAAATATAGTTTATTGCGGTTTTAAGAATCCACTGTATCGATGTTCCTCTGGCCATACAGTGTATTTAACATGCAATCCCGGAAGATGGCAAGGTATCCGATTCGCCGTTTCTCCAGAACGAAGTTCAATGAGTCACACACACATAAGCTTAACTGGAGGATATCTAGAAGACATGAATGTATACGCCGATGCTGCTATTCAAGTAGACCTCCATCACCATTATTTCTCAAATGTTCATCTACATAATGCACATCAAGGATTCATTTTCTATATCGATAACCCAATTTTTAATGTTCATTCAGTAATGAATACACACATTAACTCCTTGGGAACTGGCGTTTCCATTTATTCTCCATCGTATTACCACTATCAGGGGATCATTGAATGTGCAACTGGAATTTACATATCGACCATGTCCTCGACACACTTAGACGATATTCGGAATTATATTCACAAAAGCTGGGTATTAGATTTCTTTGAATCCGACCAATCAATTTTCTTCTCTGACTTATTCCTTCTCAACATTTTACCGCCAGAAGAAACCTATAATACACATACACGAAATTTCACCGTACAGCCTGGTAACATTATCGCAATCTATATATATCAACAATACTTATATTCCTACGAGTCGTTGGTTTTAACTGATCCATCAAATGGAGAAACCTTACTGTTACTTGATTCCACAATATCAGGGACATTTCCGGATTATCAGCTGGTTCAAACGTCATCAAACTTTCTGACAGTTACCTACAAATATACTTATCGGTATAGTACTAATTACGCTAGGATAAAAGCTGACATTTTGCTCATGCCTTTAAACGGTGAGTTACTTTATTTCTTCATATACTTTATTTGTTATATGTACTAGTATAATAGTAATATATTATTATATATTATTGGACTATATATATATATATATGTATATATATATACACTCCGAGTGCCTATAAGCATTTTTACAATGAAAATGGCAGTTGAACTGCTGAGACATGTTTGTACCATGAATTTTTATAATAAAACAGTAGGCTCAACCTAAATAGTATCTTTGAATGCTGTTGTGATTTTATTGATATTGACTGCATGTCTACTGTTACACCTGTCTCTTATACACATCTAGATGTGTATAAGAGACAGCCTTTATACCTTATATTAGAATCATCTGCAGGTGCAGAACAAAGCAACGGCAACGCAAATACCATTATATTGGATTCAATCAATTATATCCCTCAATCTATAAGACCAACAGGGCTGAGAATGCAATCAGGGACAACAAAATCGGAATTGAGGGTCATAAACTCAAATTTTCAAGGCAGTGAACGTAGCGGTACTCTTGTAAGTTTGTATAATGGAAGACGTGTTCTCTTTGAGCGATGCAACATGTCATCTGCTCAGTACGCTGTTAGAATTCGTGGTGAATTTGAGACCATTTCTTTTCGTGGCTGTATTTTGAAATACATTTCTAATGGCATTTATGATTATAACTCGTTTACCTCTGCGACACTAAATATTGAGGATTGCACATTCAATTCGATTTCGACCCCTATATACAAATACGTACGTTCAATAGATCAAAGCACACGTGTATATAGATCGTCATTCAAAGATTCATATTATGGAGTTCGATTCTACCAAAGTGTGCATAACATCTTACTTGATGGCTGCAATTTCCAATCAGTGTCATATGGTGTGCACATTTACACGCGTTATTATCATTCATATAATAATAACGCTTCAGTATACTTACATGATATCGGTTTTCAATCCGTGAGAGATCCTGTGTATGTAGAAATGTATGTCACAGACAATTCACCCTCAACTAAAGAATGGATTGACTTACGTGTGAGTGATTGTGTAGTTGAAGGTAGTGATGTCTTTCTGGAAACGTATATTTTTACAGAAACAGTGAATATTAAAGTTAGTGTGATGAACAATAGAGTAATCTACAGTAAAAAAGCTATTTTGATGACAGTTAACAGGAATGTAATCGGCAATTTAGAATACATGGTTAACATTGTAAACAATACTATAAGTAACAACACCGGCTATGGTGCTATTATTGATATTGGTAGGCCTAGAGAATACCCAGTTTTAATGACAGACTTAGTCCAAGTTGACTTCAGGAATAATGTTATCCGGCACAATGTTATAACAAGCAAGCATTTCTTGGATAAGTTTTCATGCGGGTTAATATTGGGTGTTCGCACAGCAACCTTGTCTGGAAATGTGTTTGATAACATTGAAATCGACATGGAGATCTGTAGTGCGCATGTATTTAATGACCCGGACCATTTCATCGACGCAAGATCCAACCGGTGGGGAACAACTGAACACACTGTAATTCGCCAAAAAATTTTCGACAATGAAGATTGGCACAACCTTGCATACATAATGACTAAATCAAACGATCAGAATACAATTTCCGACAAATGTAGTTCCTCGAACATCGGTGGACGAATTAATGCTACGTGTCACCTTGAAGTTGCTAATAGCCCGTATGTAGTAGAATCTGACATCACCATCCTACCAAATGCAGAATTGATAATAGACCCTGGTGTAACTTTACTTTTGAATGAGGATAATGGAATTACTATTCTTGGAAAACTAACTGCAATAGGAACCATTAGCAGCAGAATAACATTGCTTAACAATAACAATTTAATAAACGCAAAAGATAAAGACAAGATACGTTTGATACAAGGTAACAGTCGTGTGCAAGGTCTGCTCCAAGTCTTTACAGACGGTGAATGGAAATCGGTCAAAACATATTATTTCGGACATGACGAAGGCGCGGTTGCATGCCGTCAACTTGGCTATTCGTATGAACGGTATACATCGTCAACTACTGATAGAAACTTTAAGTCATACTTGTCTCGACGATGGTATTGCAGAGGACACGAATTTCGTTTACTTGACTGTCAAAATTACAACGATTATAATTATTACTGGTACAGCGATGTATGGCTGGTTTGTAAAAGTTCGAACTGGGGAAATATTCAAGTGTATACCGATTCAGATTCAGAAATATCTGCAATACAATACGTTGATGTATTGAATGCTGGGAAACTGCATGGTCTTGATGGTGTTCCTGCAATATATGCGTTCGGACCGCAGATTCCACTAATTGAAAATATCTATACTGAGAACTGCATTGGACATGCAATTTTAATCGATAGTACAACAGCGCTTACTATAACGAGAATTACTTTGATACAGTGTGGGTTAGGTATATCATCCAGAATATATTCTGCGACTAATGTTCATGAATGTTATTTTGACGACATATACACAACTGGTTTGAGTTTAACTACGAGAATAGCGAGTTTCTTTCCATCGCAATCATTATTTTATACGCAAGGATGTGGGACGCATCGATTTGTGAATCCAGGTGACCAATTTGTACTTCGTGATAATGCATGTGGAGAAATAAACTGTATTAACGTGTTTCAATGCAGGCAAAATTGCACAATATTTGTGACATTTACGCATTATTACAGTTACAATAGGTATAGCAGGACGGCTTACGTTTATGATGGAAACTCGACCGATTCTACTCGTATTGGGGAAATAAACTATTATAGAGCTGAGACGTTGACGTTTATGGCTACATCAAATGCAGTAACCCTAGAACTAAATTATTTCACCACGTCCTATGGCAATTGTCGGTTTGATTACGAACCAGTGGAGATACACCTGTCGGTGTACGACAAAGGTAAGTTACCGTACTAGGTTGGTTTTTGTAGAGGCAAATGTTGCAGTGGTTAAGCTTTGGTCTTTATATTCTCGAATCCTGAGTTCAATTTTTACGCTGTTAATTTGCATATGGAAATTTAATTCTTTTATATTGTTTAAATTATTACTTTTTAATTGTTCTCAGCTCTTGAGCGTATTTTAAGTTTGCTCTGGAGAGCGAGGCAAGCTGTATAGTCTGAATGACTGTTGCTGAAAAATAAGATACATTTCCAATATTTATTATTATTTCCTCCGCAAAGACGTTATACTTTCATTCGAGTGTTTTTGTGTGTTTCTGTTTGTGTGTGCAGGGAACAGTAAAATTAAAAATAATGAATGAAAATAATTTCACTGTTCCCTGGTGTGTGTTAACAGTTTGTTAACAGCCTCATGTCTACGGGTTTATGTCTACGTGCGTCGGGCTTTTTACACATCATTTCCGTCATTGAATGAAAAGTCCTCTTTTTCTTTTGGTAACGATCCGGAGTATTGTGTGAATGTGGGGACCATTTAAAGAAAACCATTGGACAATAGATATCTCAAAAACTGATCTACTAATCTGTAAGAATTTATTTTGGAAGTGTTAACAAATTCAAATTTGAATTTAACTTTAAAACTGAGAAAGGTAGAGAAAAAAAGGAATAGGCCTAGTAAAAGAATGAAAGACAGAAGTTGTAGAATAAATTTGGTAGAAAATATTGAATAAAAAGGCAAATACAGTAAATAAACTCAGCCTAACTGGAAGGAAAAGGAAGAGAAAGAACTGGAGATATCCATGGAATGGACGACCCCACGTTTCTTTTTAAATGGTTTAATTAGAAGAAATATATAAAATATTTAATGGCCATTTTTTCTTAATTAAAATGTAATCCACAATGTAATATAATGCAGTATATTACATTATATTACATTGTGTAATATAATGCAGTATGAAGTAATAAGATGTATTATGCCATCCGGATGGAATTCATTTGGCCATGGCATATAGAAAACAATATACAATGAATAATATATATATATATAATATAAATAAATAAAAAGCGAGGTTCAACAGTAGCTTTGATTAGACATTTTATTACTACTTAGTTTCGTACCACACAAATGGTGTGACACTCTTCAGATAAAATTACCTAATGACTAAAAGACATAGAAATACAATTATTGGGATAAGCTGAGCATGCGCAGAAAGCCAGAGCGGTAATACAAAGGGTTCAATTAGTTCGGTCAGATAAAGGATTGATAAACAATGAAAGGGATTAAAGTGATAAACATAAGTTAAGTAGCAACATAACATGGGAAAGATGTTTGCATGCTAGGAGGGGTTAAAATAAAATTAATTTACAAAATTTCTTAGAAGAAAAATGTTGGCATGCAAACAGGCCAACAAATTTCTTAGAAGAAATTTTGTAACTTAATTTTATTAAGTTACACATACAATCAATTGTATTTCTATGTCTTATTCATTAGGCAATTTTATCTGAAGAGTATCACACCATGTGTGTGGTACGAAACTAAGTAGTAATAAAATGTCTAATCAAAGCTACTGTTGAACCTCGCTTTCATGCTGATGATATCATGCAATGATGCAGATGATAATGACATGTTTTATTAGGGATCATTATTGATATTCCATTTTTATAAGCGAATACCTGTCTCTTATACACATCTAGATGTGTATAAGAGACAGTAATGTGTGTGTGTATGTATGTATATAGTTGATGACTATCCGGAGTAGGGTGTGGATATGAAGACTATTAAAGGGAAACGTCCAAGACCAGATATCACAAAAAAAATATTAACTGATCTGATTTTGAAACAGTTAACTAAGTTACAAGAAAGACATTATTAGATTTTTGTTACAATCGAGATTAGGATGTGGATTTGGAGTCATTTAAATTGCTAAAGTCCCAGATCGCTTTTTTAGAATGGTTTGTCATGGTCCAATGACGTAATTTTGGAGATTGGCCATTTAAATGAACTTTTCACACCTAGATATCTTTAAAAAACGATAAATGCATCTGAAAACCTTTTCGAAATGGATCGTCATGGCAAATGAAAAAGGTATACAATCTTGGAGACGTTCCGAGTAGAATGTGCATGCGGAAACCCTTGAAACGAAATGCCCCATACCTAAATGATATATTAAAAAACTGATCAATGAATCTGAATTACATTAACACACTAGAGTGTGCACTTACTTCGCTCGCTTACCTTGTAACACGTTAACGTCGCGATTTATTCCGAAAAAAGGGTACAATTGTTTATAACCACTAGGCTTATCACTGTCAGGGTACATTTGATGAAAATTATTATTTAAAAAAGCCGTGTACTACGTCAACTGAAAATCGCGGTACATGGAGTAAAGAAGGGTAAGAGCAACGCAAACTACTCATTCAGCCGTTAAAACTGCGTAAAGCTGGTTTTCCACTAGGCGAATTTATTCGCGCGAAACGTCGGCTCGCTTCTTGAGCTCTGATTGGTTGCGCATTTTTCCACTAGACCTGACTAAAGCTGGTCTAGTGGAAAACCAGCTTTAGTCACTGAGCACCTCCCTGTTGTAGCTCAATCTACGGGTCACCGTAGAAGACGCTAGTAAGGTCAGTTAGGTGAACTAATAAAAATGAAAATTATGCATAATTATTAACTTCGCGTTCGCGAAAGCAGTGATTACTGCTTGTGAAATACGCAGCGTTGAATAGCATATATGTAATACTGATTCTGAAGGATATAAATGCTCACTGCATTAAGACAATTCTATGTATGGTTTTAATGGTGATTTCTTAAAAACATTTCGTTCACTATCAGTATGAATATAAGAAGTAATATTCCATAGCAAGCAGAGAATATGATTTTACCAAAACCGACGATATTCTATACACTGACTATTATGATGTACTGTTTATTAAAGACTGTCCGCCAACAGAATCAACCTTAAATACTAAATTTAAAAATTATATAGCTCATTTAAAAAAAGAAAATGCAGATGGAAGTATAGTTTTCATTGATTACAAAAGAATCCTTAAATTTTACCCACCAATAAGTCATACAAACAAAAATACAACAAAGTATACTGTCATTAGAAAGTTTAATTGTGAAAATTGCTATTGATAACTGTGTCCGAAGTACTCGTCCTCCAAGCATTTCTAAACGTTTATATCCTTCGGATATTTATATATGTATGTTTAACCTTGGAAAAAGAATTTCACATAGGCCCCTATTTTGCGTGACAATAAAATGAAACTTGAACTTGAGTTTGTATCAATACTACTACAATTGCAACAACGCATCATGTCACATTATCTAGGCCTATATATTACACTTTTTTTTATAAGCAGTAAAATTTTGCCCAAACTCAGTATTCTTATTTTTTGGCCGATTTCAGGCTCAAAATGTTCTTATTTTGTTCTTATTTTTACATACTTTTCAAACATAGAAAATCCCCCCCGCCCCGCACAACTTTTTGGCAGAAAATATAATGACTATAGATTGTATATATTGGAAAAAATGCAAGAAAAGAAAGAGGGAAGAAGGAAGAGAGGGAGCAGAAATAGAGCGTTTATCCAGTCCCGGACAGAGCAATTTCTCGCAATTCACATTGGTGGATCTGGGTGCGCCCCCACCCCCTCAGGGGCAAGAAAACAAAAAAAGTAAAAAAATAATAAATAAACAAAAAAGAAGAATATTACACCTACCTTTTCAGGACCAGTGAGCTGAATTATTTTTGTTAAAATAAGAAAATTAGAAGTCGGGAAAGCTCATTTCCCGCCATTTTGGAATTTTCTCGGGGGAGGACCCACCGACCCCTTTTTATTTTTGGGGTTCATCGATTTATGGACCATTTTCAAGGGGAAAGCCTTGAAATTTAAAGGACTCAAAAGTCATTAAAAGACACTTCAGAAGTCGGGAAAGCTCTTTTCCCGCCATTTAAAAATCAGTATTTTCTTGGGGAGAACCCGAACCCACCTTCCTCTTTGGGTTTCATTGATTCATAGGATCGTTTTCAACATGAGAAAACCTTGAATTTTGAAGAACTTAAAAGACATTAACAGACACCTCAGAAGTAGGAAAAGTTTATTTCCCGCCATCTAAGAATATTTTTTTCCCATGGAGAATTCCCTTGACCCCCTTTCCCTTTGGGGTTTATCGATTAATGGAAAAAGAATACGTATGTAACTACTCAATTTATTTTTATGCATGTAGGCCTAGACACACGTACCAGGCCTATTTACTGAATAAGAATGAGAAAGTTTACCTCTGACCGTTTTCAAGAGGGGGTAAACCTTGAATTTTGTAGAACTTAAAAGTCATTCAAAGACACCTAGCTCAAAAGTCGGGAAAGCTCATTTCATGTCATTTTTCCGAGGGAGGGTATTCCATAGTTGCACCTACTGCAAGTAAGGTGCAGTACAGATAGATTTTGTTGGTTTTCCATTAAAAAAATAATAATAATAAAAACCTCATTTTACATTTTACCTCAGCCTGAATCTGTTCTTATTTGGTTTTATTTTTCAGCGATTTCAGCAACATTGTTCTTATAAAATGTGTTCTTATAAAAAAAAGTCATGTTGTTGTAAACAAATACTATGGTGTGAGAGTTAGGGATCTTACAACGTCCACGAGAGGTAAATCATTGAGGATAGTTTATCATTTCCCTTCAAATTACGATGGTAGGAATCGACTCGTAACAGCGCAATGTTTCGGCCTCCAAACAATAGGC